CGATGCCTGATTCTGCGCCAGAGGAATACAAGAAACTTGCCGAGCGGTGTTGTGATGCTGATCCTGATAAGCGTCCAGATGCAGGGACACTTTGGCATGATATTTACAATATGTTTGAAGATGACAATTTTGTATTTGGCAATGAGTGGAATACCGTTTATCATAATGATGTAAAGCCGTTATCACGTCTCGAGAAAAAGAGTAAATATTCCAGCACACTCTTGCCTACTGGAGCTTTGCCTAAACCGAGAAATAGTCATGATTTGGAATCAGCTGCAGGTACGGTTACATGTTGATACAAATAAAGTCATCTTACAATATTAACATCGTTTTATTGTCTAATAATTTAGTGACACAAACGCTCTTATAATTCGCGGTCTACGTGGTATTTACTCAAAAAGTTTACTCCTCTTCCAATTAATATATTAATTAAATGTGTCAACATGAGTTGCACGTTTACTGTTAGATGTCTTTTCCAGGGTAGACTATTTGAGTATATACTATATATATAGCAGTCATTATCTAAAATTTATGATACTGAATAAAAATGCGTAACTACGTTCTGGTCAGTTTAAGCTTCATTGTCAATTTCAGTTGGTTTCGCGTTTCCTAACATTGCTTTTATACCTCTCCCAAAACGATCCATGCAGTCGCAAAATTATCTTGCCGAACTCTTCATCGTGATTGCTTTTATTTGACATTGGATAATAGTATTTAAAGCGCAACAGCTGCTTTGCGACTATAATAATAATGCAAGAATCCTGTAGATAAAATTTATCACAAGCCTTCTTGAAATCTCTTAAAATGTCTGGCACTCAAACGAAAAAAAAAGAGTGAGCGTATGACTGTATTGTTGGCTAAGAGCTCTAGGCGTAAATATTATTCCAAACGAATGCGTACAGTGCTCAGCTAACATAGAACAATAAGTTACTCTTGTAACACTAAAATCAAATCAGATGTTCGACCCACCTCAATTTTTGAATTAGGTCTAATTAGTAGCGTAGATCTCTGCTACCCAAGGCATATTTGCGTAACACAGCTTCCGGTCCGTAGGTAGCAAATGACTGATGCTTCCAAAAGCGATCGTATTGGAAGAAATCGCACGGTGGGGAAGCAAACGGCGAACCAACACTTCCTGACTTTGATGAAAACAGAACAGTACCATAATTCAAATCTTCGAGTACGTTCTCATTTTATTTGGCTCCATAGCATCTACATCAAAGGCATTCATTCTCTCGAAAGGCACAAGCCACCGATACTCAGTCAATGGATACGACTTTCACAGACCATGCGATAACTAGTCTAGCACCGACCGTTGTCTCTGGCGAATTAAGTAATCCTGCAATAGCATCATCTTCATCGAATCCTTCCGCCAATCCAACTCTCCCATCGACTCCTCCGCCGTTTTCTCTACTTTATGATGCCGACGACCCTTTCCTTTTAGTGTCTCTACGGCAAGCACGGCCTCCCCGACGTCCAAAGTATCTTCCCGTCCTTTTTATTCTTGCCTTTATGGACTTTGCTTTTTTATTGGCGAGTGTGATATTGCTGTTAAATAAACAAAAACATGATGGTCCGAACAAGACGTGGCGAGTCGGCGTGTGGGATTTGGTCGCGCTTGGAGTGGTGAGAGTAATTGTTCTAGTCACTGTGTCATCATCGATATGGGTGAGAGACTATGGATGGATTGTTGGAGGCGCTTGTGGGGTGAGTATGGTTGAGTACACGCAAAAGAAAAGAAAAACAGAAAGAAAGAGGGGATGGAATTGGACTGATATGGATAATAGCACATTGCAAGTGTATTGATATTAAACCTATCATTACATTATTTAATAGATATCCACTATGTATGTAATATTCAAATCCAACCTCACATTACAATTTAAAATACCAACTAACAAACACCACCTCATGATCTTCGTCACAACATTCATATTCTCTCTACTAAATTGGATTGTCTATGCCCTTGTCACAGCAGACAAAGGACGCCGTGCACGATTGCTCAAGGGTAAAACTATATTCTTTGAGGAAGAAGGAAACGCAAATGAGATTGTTCATGGTGCAACAGACGATAATAATGAACAGAGTGGATTGCTTACAGATGGCGATGAAAACGTTTATAATGACGGTACTAATGACGAAGTAACTCGCGGATATGGAACAATAAATACAGATGAGACAGAAAACGATGTGTATAACGATAATGGCGGCGGGGTGGCAACTGCACCTCAAACAGAGTACATCGCTGTCAGAGGTGCTTCCGCGTTTACTCGCCCTACAACGTCATTTTCTACAGCATCTGTGCCGATTCCCATTGCCAGCTCTGTGAGTTCGGACGGAAGCGCACGGTCTTTTCGAAAGTATAAGAAGAAAGGACGACCAGTTGTGTCGGGCGAGGTCCCATTACATAGACGTAAAAGTCGAGATATTACCGAGGAGCGCGAGGAAGGGATTAGTAACACACGTGATGATGAAGATAACCTTCTTCAATGTTTTGACGACACTGATGCCGGTTTAATATTCACTTCTGTCGGACGTGGTGGAAGTGTCAAGGATCGTGACGCGGTTTACTTCCAACCTCCACGTGAGGATGTCCTACCGCTTGCAGTCGAAGAGGCAGAATATATTTCGTCTGACGATTGCGATGACAGTACCGCTCCGGGAACGCCATACCATGTAGAATATGCAGTTGGAGTGACTGGTCATGGAGGAAACGCGCTTATTGACTCTTACTCACCAAGAGGATATCATGTTGGGGACATCAAAACAAGCAACTTTGATGGGCTATAAAACAATAACTTTCTAATAAATCGCTGATAAGCTCTATATGTATTAGGAACAGAGAATATTGAACTTTCAATGTGTGTATTAATATTATGATTTCGACTACAACTTGACTCTACGAGCATGAGGGAAGGGCGGCTATCTAAGCAAAGTGAATCCAGAGTTTAACCGCAACAGTTGGTTCACTGATGGGTAAACTTTATGAGGAATCCAAACATGCTCGGTTGGGCGTCTGCGCTTTGATCAGACCATGGAGGCGACATTATCATATTGGCAATCATTCCATTATTCCTGTACGAAACAGAGCATCATTCTTGTTGGAAAATATAGTTATTTATTCGTATCAATTTACCTTTCATGTGCACAAGTGTTGCTGATGAAAATGCCCCAATAATACCCCTTACGTCACCTAATGATCCCGACACCATCTCCATACGTATAAGTTGATGGCAAGCAGTCAGCATCATTCGTCTTTTTCGCTCCATTCATCAACTACCTTTTTACTGCTTCTTGGCAACACATCGGTACTGTTTTTAACGCTTGCTCTCAGAATAAAAGCCTTTGCGCAGATAATTCGAATTCTCCCAAACGCTCACGTCGTCCTGCCCCTCCCCCCTGTCCGACTTTTGTCTTCCACACAAGCACTAAATACTACATAGCTCAAATTGTTATCAACGAAATAAGAACATTATTTGGTATGGGTTTTCTACAGAGTAATTTCGCAATGTTCTTCACCAGCCGAAATGCTCACCTTTTGAGCGAGCTCATTGGCTGTTATGTGAAATACGTTGGCGTGACTTTTGACCAGACATTAATCTTGGTCTTCCGCTTCTGGGTCGAACGGTTGTCTGCTGGCTTTTACGAAACGCATTAATGGCCCGGGTGACCTGCGATTGCGAATGCCCAAGAGCCTCAGCAATCTCGCGGGTTGATCTCCCACAGTTCCACTGTCCAATAATTCGACCTCGTTCGAAATCAGAGAGTTCCCTGTTTAATGGCATGATATATTAATTATAATATTAATATTAATAGATTTCAGAAGTTTAATAAAAAAAAAAGCAGTTTAAAAAAATTAAAAATATCAGATTATCGTTAAACAAGATTCTGTGTAACGTTTTGTCATAGGTACTTTTTCCCCGGTGAGAGACAGTGTACTAGTGTCAATGATACTGTGGGAAGTGCTCCTCTGTAGGTTTGGAATGGACAAGGCTGAAGACGAAGGTCAATCCCTATGATCTTTATTATAGAATATACGTGATTATGTCTTTAATAATTACATAACCCTTCTTTACAAAAAGAGATCAACCAGAACAGGCCGTTATCGAACGAGGGCGATGACAATTCAAACCCCCCAACCGACGGAAATGACAATGTAAATGACAAACAAAGCAAGTCAGTAAATCAATCAGCAAAAACAGCCGATACTGTTGCTACTAATCCTACTAATTTTACCGATGAATTATCAAACAAGGATGACGCATTGACACACCAATCGTCAACTTCACCGTTCACAACATTATCCCTTACGGAACGAAGGCGCAAGGTGCAACCCCCGTCAATGCAGACATCAAAATTGCCTCATAATACATTGGGCAAAAACTCCCAGAGATCTGAAACCCGTCAAGAATCAGATTCGCTCCCGTACATGGTGCGAGAACGTGCCAACTCCACTCCCAATCTCGAATTAGCGTTTCCTTCATCCCCACCATCAACGCGCGGTCAATTTACGCCAAAACTATCTTCGCCTCTTGCATCCAGACACCCAATTAGTGCTTCGCCCGAATTATCCGAAGATTCTGATATGGATGAACGAGGGAACGAGAACAGAGGCTTGCTAACACACAACAAGCCATCTATCACGAATCAGGATCATGGTTTACCGAAAAGCCTATCAACGGAAATCGCTGAACCGCTTCTCTCACCCATCGCAGAGGAATCCAACCCCATGCTTGATATTCCTAAACCTCCATCTTTAGCTCAGATCTTTACTCCTCATTCACCTCCTCCCCCTCCTCTTCCTACTTCAACTGTGTCCTGTACGACACGTTCTCTCGATCCGGTCACTATCTTGCAAGATTATCCTCTTCGGGATGACAAGCCTAGTCTTTTATCAGGACCGTTTCACGTAGCTATGAGCAAACTGTGGAATAACGAGTTTGACGAAGCAGAGGCGATTTTATCAATGGGGAAAGATGATATTCCCAGATGGTCTGCGACGTTTCTTGAGGCACAATTGATGAAACATGTGTTAAGTGGGCAAATTTCAGATAGTGATAATCCATCATTAACTAACGCATTGATCCTGGCTGAAAAGGTTGCTAGCAGAGTCAATGAAGGAAAGGATGATTTCGTAAGTTTAACGTTAAATGAGAAAGTCGTTTATGCATTCTCGATAACGTTTTTGTATCTCGCTTGTGTCAAATCACTAACGCTTGTTTAATCTTTTTTTCCGTCTTGCATCGGCTTTCCTTACAATTGTAAAGGAATTGTCTTTTTCTTCTTTCAAATCTATAACAAGAAAATATTGTCTCCCATCATCTTCGGAAGACCTACCACCGTCAAGCCGTACTAATTATCGTTGGGACTGCGATCTTGCCCTAGCCGATATCCTTCTTTTCCGTGCTGTTTTCCAGGTGATCGGCGGCAGCGAAATCAAGGGCGCATTCAATCTTCGCAAATCGTGGAAACTGTATTCCAAAGTTAGAGATGAGATTGAAAAAGTAAAATCTGAACAAGGAAAAACCGATGGAAGTTCAACGAGTGGAAATAGTAGATGGAGTATTGGAGCACCGTTTGGCGGAAGAAGAGGAAGTTTCAGCAGTTTGGTAGGATTTGGGCTTAAGAGTCAGGTTCAAAACAATCAGCAGGATGCTAGTGTTGAGGGAGGAACAAGTGGAGAGGTAGATAAGGATGTTGAGGACTGTCTGGAATTTGGCATTGGCTTGTTTTATTTTGTTGTTTCTATAGTAAGTAATTACAACTTCCTGTTTATGCATTTTTTGTCCTTGTTTGTGCTCGAAGTGGTGAGTAAAGTGGGCGAATTCTATATTGATTATGTATGATTTATGACGACATGCAGGTTCCTGGCTCGTTTTTGAGCGTGTTAAAAGCAATAGGATTTAATGCAGACAGAGAGCAAGGTATAAAGATGTTAGAGAATTGTTGGAAGCGTTGCGGGATTCGAGGTAAATATTATAAATGTGTGCAATGAATTTTTTAATGTTGCTGTAAATGACTGGTCTTCTTTTTTTTTTCATACCGATAAAGCACCATTTGCCGCCCTGTTTCTCCTTGTAAACTATTTATTCCTTCCACGTGGCCTTGTTAACCCTAAGCCTACATTAACACGAGCCGGTGAAATTGTTGAAAAGGCCTTGCAGAAATATCCGTAAGCAATTCCATAAACTAATGTTGTTGGCAGGGGGTTTGCACGTCTTGGTGTTCATGGTGTCGTTTCACTCTTACTTACCATTCCAACACCTTTCCCTTTCTTCATACTCCCACGAAAACGCCATCACAGTAACGGCGCAACCTACTTGTTCCTATCATGTTACCAAAATCGTAGAGATACTCGCTTCCGCGAAGCCATCGATGCCATCTCTCGCGGAATTAAATCATGCGAGAAATCCAACGTTAATCCCACAAACTTTTTCTTCGAGCTCGGAATGACTCACATTATCCTTCTCGACTTGAACAATGCAAAGAATATCCTCGAGACTTTATTTTATGGTAATACCACTCTTTATACCGGCAAGTATGGATCGATCCGTTTGCACGGCTCGGTGCGAGGGTCGAAACGACTTGATGGAACGATGAGAGATAAGACGGAGCAACAATTCCAGGACTTTGAGTTGAGGCCATTCTGTGGGTTGTGTTTGGCAGCTTGTTATAGCATTGCTAGACCAGGAGAAGTTGGTGAAAGGGTCGCATTGGATATGTTGAGCCAGATACACGAGATGACCAGTCCACCAGAAAACAATAGTAGTAGTGTAGCTGGAAGCATTGGGTTGTTGGGTGCTAGTGCAAGTGCATTTGGATTTGCTGGCGGGCTTGGGAACGAAAAAGAAAAGAAGGTATGTATATATATAGTATTCTGTAGACATTGTCGATTCGATTAGGAATTGTTAACGAATCATTAATGTCATCTTTTTTCATATAGGCTAGTCGGTATAACAAATTCGCGACACGGCATGCGACGAGAGGAATCAACACAAATTACGTGACACCATTTTTACTGTTCATCATCTTGTATCTTCGTAGAGATTTAATTTATTTGCCAAAAGACATATTAGAGAGATGGTCCGCTTTGCTAGAGACAACTTGGGCAGTAAGTATAGGAAACGGATGAAGTATACTTATGTAACTATGCGCAGTGAGAGGGGGGGGAATGCTTTGCCTCTGTTTTCTCTACGTTAAACTCACATTCGCCTCCTTTTTTATAGAACGCTAAAAAACCGGTAGATACGGATACGAACGCAGTTTATCTGTTTTTCCGTGGCGTATTCGAAAAATCATTAAACCCGGATTCTTCAGTCGCCCTTTCCACGTTCAGAGAATGTTTATCTATGGAAATTGGGGTTGTCTCAGAAACATGGGTTATTCCGCATTGTAGATACGAGGTAAAACGAGTTATCCTTGTGCATATTATCTATTATTATAATCAATATATAAATACAATAATCTCTTTTTTTTTATCAATATAGCTTGCTGAACTCCTTTATAAATCACGAGGGAGTAAGGAGGAAGCGATGGAACATTTTAAATGGATAATAAAAGGTCCTCGACCGATATCACGTGGTCCAGCACTAATACGACGGGATAGTAGTCTCAGCCTACAATCTCTCACTTCTCGTTCGTCGGATGCGTCGGCATCTCCAGCGTCTAATACAAATTACAATCCCGAAAAGTTCAAGAAATACGAATTCGCGCGTACACTCAAACACCGATGTACAGTTGCACTGGATCAGATTCGGAACGGAATCGTCAGTCCACCCGGAATCAATCCGGCAGGCGACCAAACAATATCTGTGGAAATGCCGTCGAATGGATCTAGCGCTGCTGTTTCCGGTCAGCTATCAAATACTCTTGTAAATGCTTACAAGTCTAAACCCGAGAGCGAGAGTGAAGACTTGGACGAAGGAATTGTAATTGGAAAGACACTTTCAATGAAACGTAGACATAAGCCATCGAAATCGTTCTCTTTTGTTAATAGACGAGAGAGCGCAGATGGAAATTCGAGCGATGCTAGTTCAGAAAGTAAAGGGAAAAAGAAGCTGGCTGGATTTAGATTTCGATGATTGAATTTTGATAGTTTATACCTTAAATCGATGATTTTCTTTATCACGTGGACAATGTTTTTCACTGGTTACGGATTATTATTATTAAAGTTGAAATATTACACTGGTTTTCTGTGGCTGAAACTTGACGGCTTTTGGCCAACGTGTCAATGAAAGATGGGGATTAAAGCGTACCTTTTGTATCAGTTGTTCTGGTATAGTGTTTGTAAGTTTAATCTCTTCCATCTCCACCCGTTATGGAACGGTTGTAGAGTGAATGGCTTTCTAGCTATATAACTGCAGAATTGCATTCAAGACGTCTATCTGTACTGCTGTGCAGCTCACGTACAAAGCTACGTGCCAACAAAATCTACATTTCTTTGATCGCTGATACTTTGCTACCGTAAGTGTTGTAAAATAAGAGCGTAATTGGCAAATGTAAGATAACAATTTTAATAAATATTATGATTGGGAAAATTATTTCCGCATTTCGTATCATGAGAATAATATTTCTGCGCGCTACCAATCGTCATCACGCGCAGTGTCTTGGTTTAAGATTAATCGCATGGTCTGATATCGTGAATAGGCTGAGAATATAATTAAATTAATTGTGAATGTAAAAATGAAAAAACGAGTCCTAATTTGGTAATGCGACAAATAGTATGTCATTAGTAATACATATTATGTCGATTGTTATTTTTTTCTTGAAACGTGCAAATAATGACAAGGGTAAAATTAAGCCGTCCTTCGGCAGAGAAATTTCCAAACGTCTCATTAAGATAATAAAAAAAATGTCAATGATAAATGACCATAGAGTTTCTACTTTCGAACAATAGTAATTACCTTTCTTTTTTCTTTCTTCCGTTCAAAGATAGATTTAAAAGTAAAAGACAGTCTTTATTTGAATAGTGTAATTGGGAGTTGTCTATGAGCCCGGGATATACCGTTGCGTTGGTTATTATCGAGTCTCATTGATAATAGACAACCCCGATTGGCCCGTTAACCATTCTTTTGAGCGGCCGTTCTGATAAACTCATCCCTGAACCGTGTAAACAATTTTGAATAAGATTGTTCCCTAAAAATTTATGCCCCAATGGTTGTTCCGTAAACCTCGTGATTGTTAGGTTTTACAAGCTATGTGAGAACCGGTTTTTCATTAAGGTTTTTCAGCCCTTTACGTGAGAGTGATAAAGTAGCATATGATAATGATAACAGCTTTACTTTTTGTAATACACTTGTCATACGGCGCAGAAGATGAAAGATAAAGGACATGTTTACTATAATGGACATGGTTAGGCCTTGTCCCATTGGTAGTTGCATAGGCTTATTGACAACAGTGAAAGGAGCTTTGCTTTTTGTGCAAGAGCTTAACATGACAACAGGAACACTGGTTTTCTTCATTCAAATAATACTTTTATACAATAAATTTGTTCCATTTACAAAAAACAAAAGAATATCTATTAATGGGAAGGTAATGGTAGTAACAATACGTTATTATAATATGGATTAGAGTATAGTACAACGCCTCGTTTTATAGCTTCCTTTAGCTCTTGCTTTGAGACTGACTTTTGCAGCATGTTGAAAAACGTCTTTTACACCTGTCGGGAATCGGTAAGATGGTATAAATTTAGACAAACAAAAGACGTAGCCAATAGCCATATAAAGATAAAAGTATTGTGACATTTACCTCTATCAAGCAATGCTGAACATTCCAGATATCTAGCCGCTTGAATGTTCCTCGCTACTTCAAGACCCTGTGAAACCAACCAATTAGTCAATCAAATAATTCAAATATACACAAAGTTTACTATTAATATAATTTATGTGTTACATTACCTCCTCGTAAGTGATCGGCTTCTGCCCTGCTTCTTGTAAATTCTTTATCGTACGTGGATCCTCTCTCAGATCGCATTTCAATGCCACTAGACATATCTTTACACCAGGGCAATTCTCTATGATTTCTTCCATCCATTTATGTTCAATGTTTTCCAGAGAATCTCTGTAATCCACTGAGAAGCAGAGCAATATTACATGAGTATCTGCGTATGATAGTGCTCTTAATCTATCAAACCCTTCCTGGCCTAGATGGATAGAAAAGGAATAAACGGGTGAGTGATGCAATTAAAATGACGGTAATTGCGAATGTATTATTCATTGTGGGCAATGTTCAAAATGCTTGGCGGTGCATTTGCGGTAAGAATAGGTTTTCTCTAACAGCATCAGCATCACATCAGCATCAGCACTTTGCCAAGCTTACCAGCAGTATCCCATAGTAATAATTCAATATGTTGATCGTCCAAATACATGTCGCACACATAGTTTTCAAATATCGTTGGTTCATATACCTATTGACATTACATTGTGAGTACAGCTGTTTCCTCACGCACGCACATTCTCTGCTCAATTCTTACCTGCGGAAAGTATCCTCGTGTAAATACGTTGAGTAGTGATGTTTTACCACACGCACCATCACCCAAAATTACAATCTTGCGTCTTATGACTTTATTGCGTCCGGGACATCCACAGGGTGCCATGATTATGAGAATAGTATGATAGGGTAAGTTGTAAAAAGAAAATAGAGTATGGTATATAATGTAATGTTAAATGATATGTTCGTTGTTGTTATATGATTGTTGGTATAAAGTATCTTGTAAGTCTCTCGATACTGTTGTCGAGGGTTGCTAGGTATTTTTAGGAAGAGAGTTTTGTTTCGTGTGAACATAGCACTAAGACTATGTGCTTATATACAATTTGTTTGAATTTATCTAACTCGATTGAGTATCGGGCTTGCGGTTGTGTTTAAATTGCAATAAAATACAGCAATAATTATACAGTACTTTAAATAAGCCCGATTATGCATGAGGTATTATTACCACCCTTTTTTTTTTTTTTCGTTAGCCGACTTCCATTTACGTTTTATTTATGTTTCAATTATTACTTAATATTCTTCAAGAATTATGGCGCAGTATCCAATTTACATAATATTTATACTAGTACCAAACACTACGCTAATACTATAATTATCCTGTCTATATAAGGGTATCATAACCACTGTGGCAACTACCGTTGCTATTGTCAGCATGATTGTACCCTTTACTATTACGTCCCCAGATTGTGACGAATAATAGACATTGTTCGGGTTAAATATGGAAGAACAATCGGATACGTTATCTACTCGGGAACGAAAAACAGTGACACAGTGAACCAGGACAGGCAATTGAGATGGGAATAAAATCAATCACCAGGTTCGCTGACATTCTCATACTGATAACCATTTATTGCCATTTCTCACTGTTCGTACATGGATACATCCTCCCAACAACTAAAAGGTTTGGGCGTACACAACTATAAACTCCTGTTTGGTTTTACAAACATTGGGACGATATGGTTGTCCTTGTACAAGAAATTCAGGTTGGCATTCCAGACATTCAATATGGTCCAATGAGATGCCAGTAAAATTCAACAGCCAATGAATCGATTTGGCTCGATCGATCAAGTCAAACAAGTGAAACACAACAAGCGTAATTGTCTATTAAATTAAACGTCACCAGGCATCCTTATGGTCACTGGTACTAGGGTCAGTATTATTAGGTCAATTAGCAGTTAATAATCATAAATTTAATATACCGAACACGATCTGTGTGCATGCCCAACACAGGTATTGAATCCAAACAAAGCTACCCTCTGCAACACACGAGCATGAAGGTTTTTTACAAAAAGAATTCAGTATACTGTATAACCGGGTATTACTAATGCGTTAAAATAACTGATATTGACTGTGTCGATCATTGAATCGTGTTCAATTTACTTGTTTAAGCCATAACGATAATTCCTCGTTTTCTATTTTTGGTATATTACAGATGCCGGAAAATATCGGGGAAATAATTCATGTGGGTCGTCACTCCACTAGATTTATAGAGTGGGACGACTTTGATGACATCGTGGCGCAATCAGCTCACTCAGGCATGCAGATCAGCAAATTTAAAGTTCAGAAGACCTTCCAATCTTCTGATTTTCCCGGATGTCCGTGACAAGGTTTGTATTAAAGATCATTTAATGACAATATACTACAGTACTAATACCTATAATGTCATCGTCTTTATTTATTTCGATGCATGAAAAAGGGAGCAGATGAACTGTGACGATAGAAGATTCATTCTCACCGTCAGTCTGTTAACCGGTTGTACTCCCTATCATAAGAGCAACTGGGCGAATGTTATAAGCTGCGTGCGTTAATAGGTTACTGAGGAGAACCGTAAATTCTCGCCTAACATCATGACTCGTTTCACAGCTCCAACGCTTGGTTGCAATCCTTTACTCACCATAGACATCGTGTGATTAAGATTTACTTCTACGTGAAAAAGAATGACGTTTTCTCACTGAAAATTAAACAGAACGAACGCTGTTACCGTATGATGGTATGGATTTAACAAAATTGTTATGAATTGTTCTAGTATTCGAATAGAATAATCTCTTGCATTGGTAAACTACTTATTTTTATAGATAACGTCGAAAAAATATTGAAAGGCAAGCATTTAGCTTTGGTAATCAACTTTATTTCTATTGTGCAAAAAACATAGAAATTCCCTAAATTAGAGTTATTTTAAATTCCTTCAACTTTAGCTTAATGGTTCTCAGAGAAAGAAGATTCTCGCCTCGTGCTGCGTCGTAGAGTGAGACTCTAATTTTCGATGTCGTCCACGCCTCTCTCCAATAGGCTCTACTGAGCGGTTGGGTCATTACGTAATACGGACGAGAAGCAGGAGACGCAATCGGTGCCAGGTCGTTATTTTTGATATCATCGACTAAATCAACAAGCTTTCGAAAGTAAAACAGGTCACGGAAATTGCTGTCTCAGTGTTGGTTTCCGCGAAGACCATACGCGGCGAAAAGACCTCGGCGAGTTGATTTTCGTATTTTTTGATAATATCCTCAGATGCATCGGGAGAAATTTTTTTGAGACACGTGAGTCTGGGGAAGATAGATAATATTTGATATGTTAGATACTGTTCGTAGAAAGATGGCTAATGGATTTTTTATAACTGCTTTCCCCTTCGTGTACCATTCTTGTGCTATATTAGAAACACCAGAAAGTTGAGCGTGATGAACATTCAATCATAAATTCCTTGCAATAGAATAGTGTTAAAACAAACATGTAAATTCTGGTTATAAAATATCGTCTCAGTTACTATTGAAGTACAAAACGTATTCTCCAACCGTGCGTCCTTCAGGTTATACTAGCCCTTAACCTCGAAGCCATCTTTCGTATCAGAACTATTTTTTAATTCTTTTGCCGTAAGTTTAGTAGTTAGTTTCCAATCCGGTAGGCTATTAGTAAATACCGTTAATGGAAATCGACGTAATTTCGAGGTTAAATAATTAGTATCGTGAACAATAGAAAATGAAATAAAAAATAAAGGATTCGTAAAAATTTAAGAACAATGAATGATCGTTTATTATATTAATATTAGTTTTTATTTTTAAATCATAATAAAATTTCACAAAATTAATTTTAACATTAATAAAAAGACTTCCTTGAAAAATAGAATATAAAATTGCAATTATTTATTTAATACAGTCTTGAGAAAAAATACAAAACAAAAACCAATCAGTCATCAATTTTATAAATTTAATATTAATGACAAATTTGTTTTTAATTTTACCGTAATAAAAATTTCACAAAATATAAATATAACACTAATGACAAACATTCTTGAGAAATAGTAATAGTGCTTTCAAATATATATAAATTGCAACTATTTATTTAGTACGATTTTGAAAAATCTGTCAAAATAATTTTGGGGACAAACTTTTGCCCAGTGAGTGTATATCACTCGTTTTTCTCGATCTTTTTTGAAAACTGTTCACAATACTCTGTAATTCACAATAACCCCATTCTGAGATCATAGATCATTTGTATAAGTAGCATAATATGACAAAGAATAAAATCAATTGGGCATGAACAAACTCTTCTACTTCCTCAACCGATTCTTTACCCAAAGGTATTTGTTTTAATGACTGTGAGATGGTATTTTACCCCTTCTTCCTTTATCAATCCATGAATCTCAATATACTTACCTGCAATATTAACACCAAATCCTATATATAATATAACCTTGGTAAAAAGTTTCTTTTGAACATCTTCTCACAAGCTCTTTAGACCCATCCAACCAGAGTTGCACTAATTTATTACGGTTGTGGTGAATCTTATCTTCAATAGCATCCCACTTTCCACTTTCGAAGAACACAATTTCTTCCCATTTTTGATGAAGGTGAGCACGGAACATGAGATTGGGTTTATCCTCTCTAGATTCACTTTTTTGCTGAGCTTTGCGATTTTTGCTGGCTGTAGTTTGACGTTCAAATGATGCATAGCCATATCTACCAAACGGGTGATAATCTCCACTAGTGTATTTTCTGAACCCCTGGAAACTCTTCGAAGCACATTCATTCAGCTTGATTTCTTGCAAAAGAACGTGGTAATGTTGTAAATAAATCTTCCTGTATGGTTTTTACATTGGATGAATATTGTTCCACTGGCTATGCGTTCTTTAATGTGATCATCTTCAACCCATTGATCATGCGTCACTATTTATATTACTATGTCCCTCGAAGGCAATACAAATTTCCGCAATTTTTGAACGTCGTTCCTCTTCGATATAAATTTATTGCATCTATTCTTCACTGCAACATCTTTGCTCAAATTCCTTATATTATATTAGCCTGTATCTTTCCTTGTTCCCTAAGGTTATACGAATTTGGTGTTTCAGATTGTCCCATGATGTTGTTGTCAGGAAGGGTAGTGTAGTCAGGATAGTTTGTCAATTAAATTGTTGGTAGAGGGGTTTGAGAGCATGGATGTGTTCATTCTCCATATGTTGAATTTGTATTTGTGTTTCGCCAGGGCTTGGAAAACAAGTGCTCTGTGATCGGAGTCACTCCCATATTAATATGTTTGTTGTGGTGGTATGTGTTGATGAGATTAGCATGCCGTGAACTAGTACTAGCGTGAAACCAGGTGTATATGTAGTCAATTCTGGACTGGGTCCAGTATTCTTGGGTGTCCTAGGAGTGAGTGAATTGGGGTTTGTCTCAATAAGTTCATTGAGGTGGGGGAGGATGAGATTTGTGAGGGGTTGGATTTGATGTGAGGTTGAGGATATTAAAGGTGAATTAGTATTAGTGAATTATTTTTCTTAATAGTCAAAATGCAAGTAACATAATAATAACGTTCTTAAAAGTACACTACAAAAGTAAGTGTCAAATTTGCCAAAAATAGGCCTACTATTACTATAACCACTACAGATTAAGGGATAGTTACCGCCACGATGGGTTGTTTTTCATATAATTATAAGAAAAGTTATACTACGATTCTACTGTGACTATATTAATATTACTACGTAATATAGTACGACATTAGTAAATTAACATTGTGGAGAAAATAATCTTCGAACTGATTACTGATTCGTATCAAATAATTGATTGGTTATAAATCACATGATATTATCTTTTTAAACGTGATATGCATCCGCAAATGTTGAACGTTGTACCGCGTCACTTTCCTGAACAATGACAAGACTAAAAAAACTGTACCTTCTACTATAACTAGCCAGTCTACAGAACGTATTACAGTCGTCCCCCTCTACAGTCACACCATGGATATTTATTTAGAATAATGGTTTTTCCATTCGCTTGCTATTAATACATGTGAATAATTAAAAAAAGGTCCAAAAAACAAAATGCGTATTCTAAGCCTTTTAATCGAGGGTAGTTGTAACTTGTGTATCTTGAGGGTAAATCCATCAGTCGTCTTTTGGAATTTATTTGCTTGATAACTTCCACTCTTTCTGTGGTTGCGGTTGCGACTGCCTTCACATCTTTCCTATGTCAACCGACTGGCATAACCTGTCCAAGACTTATGGAGTCGCGTACTCTGGAAGATGTATCGATTAAAAGAGAGTGGCGAGGGTCGTCGTAACTTGTGTATCTTGAGGGCAAATTTCGGGAGTACATATACTTTCTGGAATTTGTTTGCTTGATAACTTCCACTCTTTTGGTGGTTGCGGTTGCGACTGCCTTCACATCCTTCCTATGTCAACCGACTGGCATGACCTGTCCAAGACTTATGGAGTCGCGTACTCTGGAAGATGTATCGTCATTCGACTGCTATAGCAAAAAGGATCTAAAATCTCGGAATCAATCAAAATTAATGTGGTAATATATTTTCTTAAAAAAGATTCATATATACAGATATTCAACCTCATACTCATACGGTTATTACTACAGTAATTTACGAATGCACATAATACATTTCATCCTGTCTTTCCATATATGTCCAAAGCCAGAAAAGTTGATATATCAAATATATAGTCATATTACTTTTAATTATCTCCTAGGATCTATGACTGAAGGATGGTATGAAATAAATTATAAGCATTGCAGGAAACAGAAAAGGTAAATTAGTTTACGGCCAGATAATGTAGGTTTGTTAATTCAACTTCTGACACTGCATGTTTTGTATAGATAAATAACTGGTGACTGTTTTTATTTTATTCAGAATAGATAACAGTATTACGCCTTTCTTACCCAATCAGAAAAAAAATACTTCTAATGATGATGTGGATAAAATCACAAAAGGTATGGCCGGGTTGTCAATATATCCAAAGGTGTATCTAAAGGTATATAACAAGAGATGAAGGAAGTATATGCTGTTAATGTATCATCCAAACACCGTTGTTCAAAATGTCATAAAATCGGTCACCATTCAAATTCTTCCAGATGTCCAAAAAAACCAAAGAAATGTACTTCATAAAAGAAATCAGATATGATTATTGACTCACAAATTAGAAAAATTATTCTAGATATGTTTAACGATCCAGAGGTTATAGAAACGATTAAAAAGAATATTAATAATACGAATGTATATATGACTCAGAGAGTCGCCTTACAGCCTACAAAATTTGACTTTACTGCTTCACAGACTACTCCAGATTTTATAAATTACCGAGAACCAATATCAGAGATACCAGAATCAGATGATGAAGAGGAGACATTAGATAATCCTATGGAGATAGACTTTGTCCGCCGGAAAGAACCAATAATTAGTATTGCAACTATACCAGTTAAAATCAAACGCTTAAAAATTTCAGCATTGGTACTCGATAGTGGGGCTGAACCTGCAATTGTATCAGAAGATATTGTTAAACGCATAGGTGGGAAAATAGATATATCGGAAAAATATGATCTCAGTGGCGTTGCTACTGTTCCAACAGAATCGCTCGTAATTTACCAATAACATTTCCTCCAGGTTTTACTATGCGTGAAGATTTTGTCGTTGTTCGAGTTCCCAAACCGACATTGATATTCCCAAACCCGCTTCTCAAGAAATATAAATGTGCTGTAGATTGGGTAATGATAAAATGAAGATTCATTACAATGGAGAAAATTTTATTATTCCGGTTACTATGCACAAAGTCAAGAATAAACTTGAAGTAAATTGCGCTATGGCATCACAGAATAATAGGGACGGAGTCCCATTGCTTTGCAATAAGCCTTTGGTATCCGATCAAATTTCACAGGATGCCAATAGTAATGAGAGTGAGGAATGAACCATTGGAGAAATGGCATGCTCCTGCAGGTTTATATTTAGCTCAGATTCTGACAATTCGACTTTAAAAAAAAACGCATGAGCTATGAGGATTTAGAAAAATCGCTATATACTACTCTCAAGTCTAAAGCTGAAATAAATGATCTTTGTGAAAAGTTGCAAATGCGTTATGAAAAGCTACTCGAACATATCTCTTCCAGAGATGATAGCAAAAGATAGATTTATCTAAGTAGTAGCTAATAGGCGAGCGAGTCATATTCGCTTTATTTTTCTCATCTCTTCTGGCTTATTTTTCACGTAATGTGACTAGATCCTCACTACTTATTTTTTCTGTCTCATTAGAGTTATTAGTAGGTATTGGATCAGATATATGAGAGCGGAGCTCATTATTATTGCAAAGAAATGACCCTTCGGATCTACATAATACAGATTTAGACCGAGATTTGGAACTTTTCTTCTTTATTTCTGTATTGAGAGGAGTAGATGCTGAATATAAAGTCTCTCTTCTGATTCGATTAAAATTTTCGGATGGAGTTGATGGAACTAGTGCAGATATAGGCAATATTTCAGTGGAAATGGTACTTTGTATTATTTGTTGCTGGCGCGCCCACGATTTTCCCATATATCATCGATCCGATTTTCATTAATATGGAAATCTTTTATAATTCTATACTTAGGTACCTTATCTTTGAGTGATCTAATTGTTTCTATCTGCTCAAAAGTTAGATACGTAGATTTTCGGCGATAATATATTTTTAGAAATGGTGTATTTGTCGTATGTAAATCCCGTCGCCATGTAAATCCCGGATTTACATATGTAAATGCGGTTTTGGGGTCCTTGACGGAATTTACGTACGACATTCATCTATTTATTTTGGGGTCCTTGACGGGATTTACATGGTGACGGGATTTACATACAGTACAACATTTTCATGGTTTGATTTTTTATCAAATATTCAGAATGTTATTAGAATAATAAAAAATGATATTTATTATTATAGAACGATAGATGAATGGGAAATATTAACGTGAGTGAGTCTTTGGCAGTATTAGAAATTGAAATAAATATATAATAATTGTGGCAGATTAAAACGAAATCGGATTAAAACGAAACGGGGTCTTTTTCGGAATGGGGTGCAATATTTAATCACGTGAACGTATCCAACATCTTTATTGGTCAATATAGCATAGCCTTATCGATAGCATTTGCGCGATCTCGCATACATATTTGGTAGCATTAAATCGGGCTCTTTAGGGGCGTCTCTTCGAGACATAGCATAACCAGATAGCATAGCGACACATATAGCGTGTCCCGATTGCATTAATTTTTTATTTGCGCGATTAATTTTTTTATTAAATATTCTATGCGATATATAAAATGACAACAATGCAAGAGCACAAGAGTAAGCTAACTCAAGCTATTGATAAAATTATAACGCAAAAAATTGAGGAAGTAGACTGTAATATTCATGCTACTTTTGCTACTTTATACAGAAGATTGGAAAGGGTTTCAAAACTTATATAGAAAGGCTAGAGGATTACGATTCTGAGTCTGATTCCGATCTCGAAAATGAATTAATTATATCTATTGTCAACCCTACAGTTAAAAATCCCGTTGCTACTAATAATGTATAAATCGCACGGTGTACTTTTACTTTTTTTTTTGTTTGTGTCCCAGCGACAGAAATCGGTTACGATTACTAAACCGGCACACATTATGTCGCATGTGGGTGACGACACAAATTAGCCAGTCATCATTCGAGTGACGTAAAAAATAGAAATCACACGTCAAGCCACGACACATACCTTGGTGGCTCTCGAATGACGATACAAACACAATCTACACGTCACCTGATGAGCAGACTATAAACATCCCATCTTTGCCGAGGCAAATGCAAAACACGCGTCATTCAAGTGACGTGAAAAATGCAAAAAGCACGTGAATTTTGTAATCTACCCCCATCACTCGAATGACTTGAGTTTTATGATCAACCCATCACTCGAATGACTTGAATTTTGCGATCTACACGTCATAGTTGAGGGGGAATAACCTAAACTAAGTGGATATAAAATAATTATGTTATTTCCACTTTATGAGTTTGGTATCGAGTATATTGCAAATATATTATCAAGTATGCTATATACGTACAAACCAAATATGTTTGCAAAAGGCCTTAAGATGCGTGAAGAAGGTAAACGGGTTGTCTATTTGGTTACTGCATGCAAAAAAGCTAGAGCTATAGCATTCAAGCTTCTAAGTTATTAAAATCAGATGGTTCATGTGTTTTATTTATCACGAGTTTATTTTGGTTGGAAAACAGCGATTTTACTAATATCAATGCTACTTGGAGTGCTCTTTCATTGTGTAGTCTATATACAAGCACCATAGAAGCTGATATTTTCTAATCATTTTGATGCAGTTATTATTATAGGAATAAGTGATATTAATACAAAAGTACTCGCAGATTGGCAGCATTTATTAAGTAGCTTTGGTTTCTCTATAACCCCATAAACGGGGCACATTATTCAACATCGAACCTGTTTACTCGTTTTATTTTAAAAAGTTCTGTACATATGAATACATGAGTTTTCATAACTGTAATTTTTATTTCACCGATCTTCCCTCATACACACACTGTAGCTGCATCACCGGTAGATGAAGATGATGTGTTATTTGACGCATTAGCCCCTGGTTTTACAATTAATTTTGTCTCTAATGAAGTTGTGTGATTCCCATTCTGTTTCTCTCTCAGCCCATCGTTTACCGATACCGGATATCTAATCGAGCCTTCTCCCAGTACAGTTGTTAACTCTCTCATCAGAAGATCTCCACCATTTAACCTACCTGATCCAACAGGTCTTCCTCTCTTCCTCTTTATCTGACCTGTTCCAGCATCCGAGTCAGACGCGCAGACCGAGCAGAACCATTTACCTTTCGGTACTTCTGTAAAGCCAAGGCATACAAGATGAAACCACTCATACGGACAATGTTCTCCGTCGCACGCAATCATCTCGCCAAAACTTATTCTCTGGCAATAACAATAGACTTGTTCGTCTGGTTCGACGTTAGGGTCAATCATAGGATAAGAGATCGTAGTAACGTCATCAGATAACGAGGGCGACAATGAGGATTGGGAGAGTGACGATTGAGAGATTGAAGATTGCGAAAATGAAGATCGGGAGAGTGCGGAATCTTCCAGTAATGAGGATGAACTAGACGACTGAAGACGAGTATCAACCCGGGAATCCATATTTGTCAATACGTTTGTAGCACTCGGAGGGGGTGTCGGCAGAATTGATGCTCTGATTATATGGGATGAAGAACGACAATACGTGTTTTGTTACATAGAAGATGAAGCAAAGAAGGTTTTTGTTGTGAAAGCGGCAGGTATGTTTTCGCTTGATCAGGCTCTCGATTCCTACCTTGTGTTTCTCTGCCTATTTCCATTTACACCATTACGACGACCTATGCGGTATCATTCATGGTATGATTTATCAATACAACGATCAAGCGTTATTTAAAAAGACGCCCAGCTCACCACTCATCTGGAACAAGTACCCACATCCTCGTAATTGGCGATCTGATACGACATTCCGCGGGTTGGGCAGCATCGGCAGAGAAAATTGTTCCCCTTCTACTATCTGTGTACTCATCCACTCTCTTGTATAATCGAGCGACTCATCCTGCAATGCAACTGTGTGTAATGTGGCCACGGCTTCAGTGATTCCGTTTGGACTCGAAGACAGAATGATATTATCGCGTAAATTGTGTTGTGGATAAAGAGCATCAAAGTCTTCATCCATTCTTTTGACATGTCGCTCAACAAGTTGGGACATTTTACTCGCAATAGCCAACTTTTCGTCTTGCAATTGGGAGGCTCTTTGGTAGTCTGCTCGAATATTATGCACGAGAACGTCTTCGTCTTCGTCTGCAAACAATCGGGTGCGTTTTACTCGCTTGGCAGTTCGTCGACGTCTCGAGCAAGGCTCGTAATCCGAATCTCGTTCGCTCCCGCTATTGTCTGAAGAAGACGAGCTAAAGTATGCGTCGGATTTTATGCCGTCCATCACTGCCCAGAGTCGCTTCTCTCTGATTTTTATATTTTCGAGAATTTCCCTTATTTCGTCTTCTTTATTCTTTAGTTCGTATGAATGGTGTCTGATCTCTGAGGGTAAATTGTCAACTGACGCGAGGAATTCAATGAGATATTCGTTTGCGTCTACTATGTCGGCCATAATTGAGTGTGCGGGACTATGAAAGATTTATTATGTATAGGAAGGTAAGAATGTATTCAATCGGGCTGTTGAATAAGCGAAAGAACCAAGATCAGGTCTTTTTTTTATGCAGTGAAAACCAACCGATTTGCATCTCTCTATCCTAATCCGGTATATCTGTCATGATAGCGCGGGAAATTGTTAGGTCGTTTTGAGCGATATTTGAATCCTACGTTTATTACAAAGCTTGTATATTTTAATACGGTTATTTTTACATTTGGTATTTTTCCCCACTCCCGGCATTCATAAAGAGAAAAAGCTCTTTATTTAATTGTACAACGAATTTCCTCGCAGTTACATTTTTGGGGGGGAGGCATGCTGCGTCGGAAAGTGTCACAAGTACTGAAATGCAGAAATTCAAGAGCTCAAAGATATTATGATGTTGACAGTTTCTCGCTGTAACATCGTATTCACGAGTCCCCCTTTGCACTCATATTCGAATGTTTGCGGGACACATCACATATGAACATGTCTGGTGCAAGAAGTAATAATAATTTATAAAATATGGTGCATTATTCTAGAAGATATGTGTTGTGTTACATTCTTCATGTGCCCTATTGTAAGTTTATGTATGGAAACTTATCACGTTTTCATTCATAGGACCACATGCTTGTGTAAGTATAACGCGGATAAACACGTATGCAACTTTTAAAGAGACGCGTTTTGTTTTGAATATACCGAACACGAAAAAGAATTCACGAGTTCTGTATACCCAAGAAGACATTAAACACATGTAAAAGTAAACAATCAACGATATTATCAGAATTCAAGCATTGTGAAGCTAGCTTAGATACGGAAGCAATGGATGGAGAATAATTGGAATGTTGCTGTATGTTACAACACGCCGTTTTTATGGGAACGTCTGGTATACTTTTGAGACATTTAAACGTTATTAGTGCATGTGCGACCTTGACTATTTCTAATTCAAAATAACCAAAACAATTACATGGGAGCATGCTACAACAAATCAGACAAAGTGAACATCTTGTCAAAATTGCTGATGGTTACCGATTATAGCCGATAATCTTAAGAAATCTTTGATTTAGTGGCACAGCTGTGGTGGAGACGTACAGTATTACTATTTCTATTCCTTTATTAATACTATGGCAAACATAGCTAATACTAAGTCTACAAGGATTGTAGCATTATTAAAAGTAAACGGTACTAAAAAAATAATAATAACCAGATAAAGAAATTACCTATAAGGAATATCCTCGCCTATAAATACCAGCATTATATGGTATACCGTGCGACGTTAAAATGGAGAAAACTTAATATGCACAAAAAAAAGTATGTTACTCGCAACACAAATGAGCGACAACTCGAAACCGTTCGACAAGAAACCGAACCCAGAGCGGTCTCCGTTCCTCGCCGATCTTCCGGCTTTGTAACGCTGCACTTTTGAACTACATAAAACGGGAAACGATAATAGTAGAAGAGTCGATCAAAGATAACAACGCATGGGATAGAGCGTAGTAATATAAAAGGTTGGCTTTTTGTTTAACATTTTACTTTAATTATTAGTTCAATTCTCGTTGCCGTTCGATCACTATTTGTGTAGTGCGATGGATAACAACCTGACTACAAATGCGCTTCGAAATACCAGCGTTTCCCGAAGACGAATACAGGAATTACGTACTGATTTTTATCAGACATAGTACGTGAATTTGTAGGCTTGACAAATGCTAAACCATAAGATCCAGGAACTTCCGTGCAGCCAAGATTAATGATTTTTTACCCAAAGCAATAGAAATACTCGTAAAACCCAAACTGAACTAAAACTTTTGTTTGCAAATCCCAATAGCACAACAAGAAAAGAGTCTTGTGTTCGATCTTACAGCAGTCGCTGATAGAACAATGCAGCATTTCAAGGAATGTTAATGCAGTTTATTTTCCAAAAGTCATAAACTTACATTACTCTGGTGACTGATTCGAAAGCCTTTGGTGTACAGAGTTTTACAGAAGTTAATATCCGCCCATGCTAGGGATGAATTGCTTGTCCAAGATCAAGTTATACAGAAATGAATAAAATATTTAAACTAAAATTTTCTCCGTTATTTCACTGCTCATGAATTTCTTTGCTGTTATTAAGTTTGCTGTCCAATTTTTCAATAAGTCTCACTAGTACTATTACTAGAAACAATTAGCAGATAAAAAGAGGACTTTAAAAATTTGAAATGCAGTTCACAATCTTACTGAAAAGTCGGAATATGCAGACTATGTTTTAGAACCTTGGAAAGATTTATTTGATATATAAAGATATTCAGTGAAAATTGTTTTTAGTAATAAAAATATTATGAGAAACTTTATTCCTGTTGACTTTTTCAGTATCCTCTGCTGAAATTAACTCAAGTGTTGCACCAGTACTAGCAATGAGACTACATAGAATTTCAGGAAAATATTTGGCAGATAAGCATCTTTGATATTCAACCTCAATATAAGTTTCTACTGCTGGTGATGAATCAAGAGTATAACAATCAGCTATTTTATTCCATTCACAATGTCCTTTTATAGTAGTTGGCAAGTCGCCAGGTCTCAGGGCAGAAAGTTCAGCACGAATGAGATCACGATTTGGTTCTTTGAAAATGCCAGTTTTTTTTACTATTATAGAGAGAAATAATACGATATGGGCAATCACAAACTCGATAAAACATTTGTGTAAAAGCTTCAGCATGCGCTCCTGTATTAATATTACTTATTCCTATAACTGCGTCAAAATGATTGGAAATTTCAAAAGATATGCCAGCTTCTACAATACTTGTATAAATCACACAATCAAGACCACTCCAAGTAGCATCAATGTCAGCAAAGTCATCCTGCCGTTGCTTTCCATCCATTTGGCCAAAATAAACTCGTGATAAAACGTGAGAGCCGTCTGGTTTTTGCAGTTTGGAAGCTTGGTTTGCCAAAGCTCGTGCCTTTTTACATGAGGTCATTGAAAAAGCAACTCGTTTACCTTCCTGAAGCATCTTAAGACCCATACGTATAGCTTCCGATCATCGTAAAGAATTTTAACAGTCTCACCTTTACGTGGCTTATATTCGTTATCAAAAATTCTTATATCTCCACCTCGATATTGTCTCAAAAAGTTTAAAGTTGATTCGTTTGCAAATGCATCCATAGAAATAACATGAACAGCCGATTTTAATAAATCCCGCATAGCATTTTCAGATTCACGCGCATGAACTCCACTAGACATTTGACGCATAATAGCATTATTTTCGTCTAAGATAACTACGTAAGAACGTTTTCCATAGAAATTGAGACGATGGGTACTTTCAACTTGGACAATAATAACATCCCAGTCACGTATAGCTAAATCACCCTCATTTTCCTGATAATAACATACACGAAGCCCTGAATTTTGCAATATTTCAACTTTAGCTTTAGTCTCATTGCAAAGAACCAAAGAGATTGAATTCGATCAACAAAGCGTGATGAGTCAAGCTTCCAATCATTCCGCAGGTCAAGCTGCCAATCATTCCTCTGCAAGCTCGGGACAATTAACATTCACGGGTATTAGCTTGACTGTCTGGAGTCAATTTAAGCAAATTTTTGATCGGATCATGACCGAAAATAATTATACTTTGGAGGAGATGTGTCTTTCTGTAGCTATGGACATTCGTTTATTGGGAGAAAATATTAAGAAGACAACGGTACAAGGGTTTTATGAGAGAAATATTAAAAGAAGAATGGTTATATTAGTACTTTAGATCAAATTGGTTTATGGATCGTAAAAACAATATGTCGCAGGGACTCGCATTAAATGCCCAGGATCCGCGTACTCCCTCCCTTGAAAGCATGTCATATTTCAATTATTTCGTCTATTTCCTCTTTATTACTTGGTACTTGAAAAAAATCAAAATCCCAAATCGTTTTATTATACGATCGATTACAACTGTTCGATTACATCTTCCTTTTTCCTTCTTGGGTGTTACCGAATATACTAGCGTTTTCCTGAATATAGTATTCTATCGATTGAGACTGAAAGGTCACGGTATCTCTTGATGGATGATATGCAAACACGTTAGCTCCTAAAACTTCACCGAATTTCTCATCACCGATAAATTTTCTAAATACACTAGTATGAATCTCCTTAGAATCAATCAATGCACCGATAACATGCTTTCCTGCTTCGTGAAGTGCTTGATCTGGAAGGAGCTTTGCATAATCAAATTTCTTCTCGACTTTAGTTAAGATTTGCTGTCTAATGACTGCAGGAAAGAGTTAGTAAATTAATCTGATGCAAATTAATAAAACCAATTCCTACCTTCGAAGGATTGTCCAGCCACAAAATCATCTGCCACAGTCTTCAACTCTATAATTCGACTACCAACCAATTCATATAAATTTTTCGCTTCTACTTCATTAATCTTGCGCTTTTTAGTCAGGTATTCCATTGATTCTTCCTTACTAAGGTCACCGATTTCCATCACTGGTTGTTTCGCACGTGACCAGGCATACGCGCTAAAAATAAGAATTACAATATGTAAATAATACTAATTTCGAGAGCACATCGGTACTTACATTCCATTCTTCTAGGCACCGAACCTTCACTGCTGACAAACACAGCGATATATTTTCTGTCATCGGCATTATCCTTGGCATCATCTTGAAGGATGTCGAGGATTTCCGGATTTTTGTAAACCAATCGACTAATATTATCGTAAACGATAACCGGTGGTTTGCCATTCTTTGCTTTGTATACTGCAGAGGCACGTTTAAAGGCTTTTAGAGCTCTCTCCCATTCAGAAGTCTTAGGTTGATCTATAAAAGGAAAATAAGGATCAAAGACAGTTGTTATTAAACGATAAAGCAGTGATGAAAACTTACCATTAGTTTCACCCGTTATTTGCGATCGACGACGGAATTGATTTCGCGCATGTAAACTTTTAATTCATTTTGATAAGAACCTTTACCGCGCACCTAATATTTTTCGTATTAGCTGTCTCGTAAAAGAAATCCGTTCCTCAAATGTAAAATTAATGGCCTTTCCGAAAGCTTCACCTAATTCATTAAAATTCGCAGGAACATCAACGTATATGACTCCGTGTCCAACTTCACTCGATGCAGTCCTTGTCAGCGTAGTTTTCCCAGTTCCATGTTCACCGCAAACCATGTAATAATACGATTGATCTTCATAGGGTTGAAAAATTCTTTTAAGGCGTTCTACAATTTCAGGTCGAGAAATAAACTTGTCACTTGAAACTCCCGCTTCAGGTCGAGTGCCATTTTCCACTGTTTCGTTGAGAAGACGTTCGTTACATACGTTTCGGTACCAAGCATATAGAAGGTCCACTGATATAAGACCAACAAGGCCAGTTACAATTATGTTCGCCAATATAGCAGTCTACAAATATCGAAAAGATGTTGAAAACTTGATCAAACAATGCATAACAAACAACAATGCATCTGTGATTTATTGAGAGAATAGAGTCCGAATTTTACCAAATTAAAATTGATTGACAGCAGAATTGACGGCATGTGTAACCACAGCTACTAACCCCAAGTTATTCCTTAAATACTTACTTTATTGTTCCCATAAAGACACAAACAAAAATAACTATCAATTACAAGTTTGTTTAGCATAATGTTATTTAAAACAAATAATCGTTATTAAATTACTTACTCATATACTGATACTTTCTCGGGAGACGTGTGGGGGGAAGGTGAAGAGTTTGCGTAAGGTCTCGAAAGTGATGATTGAAATAAGTCAGGTCTCAAGTTCCTCAACATAAGACTCGGCGACTGAAGGAATCGTACTCGACGGTTAACGAAGTGAGTGGTTAAAAGAAAGACGGAATGACGATTCTTTCCTTATTATTATTTACGTTTCGATCACAGTTACACAAAAATCACGCGATCCGCAGTTGCTAATTTTTCCGAGGTTCTATTTGCAAGAACATTAAGTCTTTTATCATTCATATATACTAATCGACTTTTATGACGAGACAAAGCTAAAGTTGATGTACTGGACGCGTCAATTATGCGATCAAGGTAATAGTAAGGACTTATAATATCTGCAAGTTTTCGAATAGAACCCCCACCGTTAAAGAGAACAATGTGAGTAGCATTTTCACAAATATCTATTACTATTGGGATTTTGTGGAATTTCTGAGCAACATAAATTGAGGAAATATTCTCATGACGACCTCAGGTGAAAAATGGAATAATTTTCTTCTGTATAGCTGGAGGGTCAGAGTAAAGATCTTTGAATATTGCTAATGTACTTCTTTTAGCATTAAACTTTTTGGGATCTGGGATTTTATCAGGAGATAGTGTAGAAAATGTGACATCTTCATAATAGGGCTTTGATTTGTCTTGGGCAAGATATTTATAAAAATCTCGAACTATTTTATATTTCGGCTCATTTAAATGATGTCCGAAAAGAACTACATCATCGCATTTAACATTGCGTTTCCCTATCTTAGAACACTTTTTCTTCTTAAACATGTAATAAAATTTGGGCATTGTTAGCAAGTTTAAATTCATATTGGTCTTACCTGAATTACTAGCCCCTGCCATTACGATACGAAAAGACCACGCTGGTGCATCTTTATCTCCCTGATATTTTTTACCTCATCCACAGCAAATACACAATATAACATCTTTTCGTTATAAATATATATATTTTTATTCTGACGAATTATCCAATTTTGACACACTATTTATATCTGTGTTTGATAGATAACCTTTCTCTTGTAATTTGCTTTTTATATAGGGAAATAAATCTGCATCATACGGTATTTCAATAAGATTTATACCTTGCTCCTTGCATATATTCCGCTTTTTTTGGTCGCGTAATCTTTGTGAATCTAGGTCGGCCTTGCCATTGGGGTGAAAATGATTTGGAACAACATGAAAATGATGGATGCCCTGGAATTCGAATGCTAATTTTAATTCTTCATTATACCCGTCTAATTGCATCCCATTCAAAAACGACGGTCTACAGGATGGAAATTTCTTACCTAACAGATCTTCGAAAATATATCTACAAGCGTCTCTCATCAGCATGGTGGAAACAAATTGGACACCATTCAAATTTGCGCTCTGGGTCTTATAAGGTGCATACCACTAATGCTTTCCGTTTTCACATGACCAAAGATATACGTCGAACCCATTTATATGACCAGTTTTACCAAGACACTCCCCACCGCGCTTCTCAGCATAAGCTTGCGCCTTAGCTATTTTATTAATAATACGGATGAAATTAACAGACCTGGAACGAGTATTTCCTTCCAATATACTCTGGGGCGGATACTGAAGTTTTTCTAAATCTACGTACATGAGCTCCTCTCTCACAAATCCCCGCTTTGGAGGATATTCATCATCATCGCTTCCGAGATAATATAAAACCGGTTCGTTTTCCGTTACCACAATTTTGCGGATTTTATGTAAAGAAGGTGAAAACGTTGGGTACGTAGCCCTTTTCTGATTCTCCATGCCTCCTTCCCACTCCGCATTGGCAAGCAGATAACGAACTGTATCACCTTTCTTCAGCCTATTTTCCTCATTTTTTCCAACAGGACGCTTGTACTTTGTAGATGGCCTAGATTCTACTCGTTCCAGTTTGATAGCTTTTGCTGGAGCTAAACCCCATTTTGATGAACCTGGAGCTCGAATGAGACGTGTCGGATAATTATTTAGGTAATTGATAACCTCTGGCAAATACTTAACCCACTCTCTTATTAATTTAGGGTTTGAAGTTATACTTTCGACAGCATACTGGACTTTATATAGTATTTCCGCTAGAGTTTTATTGAAGCGTTCCACGATGGCTGTACCACGATGGGAATACGGACTAATAACTCGAATTACTACACCATGTTCTTTCATTAGTTGGCTTGTCTGCCCTGCCCATTCTTTTCCGTTATCACATTGTAGAAGTGTCGGATATGTAAGAGGGTTATTGGGATCATCATAAATTTTCTTAAAGGCTTTAGCAACTTCGGAACTATTCTTCGATGTGAGAGGAACACTCGCTTTGAATCTGCTAGCCACATCTATTATGTTAAGTACTGCTATCCATTTTTTATTTTTGTAGTGGTCATGCGTAAGAAATAAGAGATCGCACTGATGTACACAATTTGGTTTTTGAATTTTTCCATAACTTACCCGTGGAGTATTTTTCGGTGTCGGAGCATACTTTTGCCATTCATTCTGGTTATGCAACCATTCACGTACTTTTTTGAACGGAAATCGATATCCTTCATTCTTGAGATCTTTATATAATTTTCGACCGTTGGAATGATAGCCTGTAGGTCGGTAAAAAAGCAATTTACAGATTAAGTTTAACTCCTCATTTGGATCAATTCTAATAATTGGCTTGCTCAATTTACTCATTTTCGATATATTTTACTATAGCAATAAACTATGTTTCAGAAAGCCAAGAGATAAGTCAATATAATATGCTATAAAAAATAAAGACAGAGTCTCATTACTTCGTAATAATCATGGCATTTCGTAAACCCCGACCCCCCAATCGAACAGCTTGAGAATGCTTCGGAGAAAGAAAAGGCGGAGTTGAGATCAGAATTATCATTTCTTAAAAAAAGCTTATATCAAGCTAAAAAGGAGGTCCGAGACAAGATTTCTTATATCGATAATATAGAGAAACAATTACAAGAATCGATAGAGCGGATTCAAAATCTAAGGCATAGATTCAAAGTTATTTCTTTCCGAAGAAGCTCTCCAAATTTATATAATTCAGAAGAGGAAGATATAGATATGGCGAATCTTGACCTTTTTATACAAATTGATCGAGGCTTAAATCGCATTGAGAATCATATTAGAGGAGCTGGAACACCATTAAATAACCCTATTAATATTATAAATGGTATTAGAAGTTCCTTGAATGCTGTCCGTCTCAATTACCAAAATGCATTCCAAGATATAGATGGTGTTATCGCTCAACGAGATGACAGAGATAATCAGATAGTCCAGTTACAACAGGATGTTAATTTCTATAGACAACGGAATATCATTTTGCAAAATCAAGTTAATCAGCTTACCCAAAATGATTTTCAGGACCAAGTCAATCAGATTACCCAAGAACGAGATAACTTACAGAATCAAGTTAATCAAATTATCCAAGAGCGATATAACTTACGAAATCAAGTTAACCGACTTACTCAAGAGCGTAACAATTATCAGAATGATCTTACTTTGATGACTACAGCTTATAATAACGAACAGGGAGAACGTCGTCGCTGGTGGTTCTCATATCGTGATAAAAATAGACGTGTTGGTGAAT